TCATCACATAAAATGCAACACATCACTCATCACACATAACGCAACACATCACTCATCACACATAACGCAACACATCACTCATCACACATAACGCAACACATCATTCATCACACAACGCAACACATCACTCATCACATAAAATGCAACACATCACTCATCACACATAACGCAACACATCACTCATCACACATAACGCAACACATCACTCATCACACATAACGCAACACATCATTCATCACATAAAATGCAACACATCACTCATCACATATAACGCAACGTACGGCATCTACATAAACAGGCTGTTATATTACCTGATCATGGACATTTATTTACTCATCTGATATTTTTGCTCCAAGCCCTGAACCTTTTTACCAGTTAATGCAAAACAATATTTTTTATTAACAACTCAGCCACAAGCCCACACGCCATTAACCGAAGCACCCCTGCCTCGCACATTTCACACAGTCAGGCTCTTCAAAACTTTCTGCCCATCACCTGCCAACATAATTCCCTTGCAACAACTTCTAAAATGAGATCACCATAGCAACAAGCCCTGCCCACTCACCGCTCATCAAAATAAGCTCCACCTTTCAGGATTTAATACACACCCCCAGGAAGCATCTCCTCATCCATCTTCATGTGTCCCTACAGACCTCCATGGTGGAATATTCATCAACCAAGTAGTAGGCAGTCGAGATGCTAACTAGTGGGTTACAGTATCCTCAGCTCAGTGTTGCTAAGCAACCAATTCCTACCCCCTTGCCTCGCATTCCAAACGGGGCAAGAAACTGTGTTTTTGCTCCAATGGTGGGTTTTGAAAAGGCGAGAGGTCCCTCAAAAGCAACGCCATGACTCATGGCCTTGCGAGAGAAGAGATCCCCAAGGCCTCCAGCAGACAAGAGAGTGAGAGAGAGAGAGAGGGAGAGAGAGAGAGGGGGGAAGAGAGGAAAAAAGGAGACAAAGAGAGAGAAACCGAAAGTGAATGAAATAAGAAACCAAAAACACACCTGAGCTTGGAGTTGCATAAATGAATCAACAATATCAGGATGATCCCTGGGTCCTAAAATATAATAAAGATGTAACTTAAGAAATAATAATAATAATATACAAACAGCAACTGAACAGATTTAACAGTCATGTGGAAACAAAAAAGAAGGAACTGAACGATATCATTGAAATAATTGCACACGTGAGTAAAACGAAGGGAAGAAAGGGGCGTGTGGAGGTTTTGGAAGCAGTCTGGGAAACAGGAACAGAAAGAGACAGAAACATGAGTCCGTTTGGAGGAACAGAAAATACATAAGGAGAGAAAAAGGAACAAACCTAAAGGAACTGAGGGGACTTTGGAGCGGGAACCCAAGGAGGTACCTGTTACTGCAAGGTGTTTCCATGGCAACCCCCCCCCCCCAAAGAACCCGTGCGATAAGATCGCCCTGTAATGTACCGATACCCCCCCATGCTCCAACACAAACACTACACGCCCCACTCAGAAACACAGACCACCTCTGAAACTCATCAGTGGGAAACCTGATAGAAAAATGTGGGGTTAATGGTTGAAGGACAAGCTGGCAGGAGACTGGATGGACCCATCGGTCAGGTGATGAGTGCCAGGGACTTGTAGCACAAAACCGTGAGTCATCTTCCAAAAGATCTAACGGATTGTCATTTGGGTGAAAGCCTTTCCACATATTTTTTCAGGACTCTGTTGTGTCCGAAACATCCGAACCAGAAATGTTGTAGCTTGTGGTTAAACAGTTTAAAGCATTTAAACATAAGAAAGGGAACAATTAAGATGTTATCCAGAGATAGCATTCCAAAAACCGTAACCCAACCCGGGGTAAAGCAGACCCGTCCCCCTGGTTCCAGCGAGTGTGGCGATCATGCAACCCAAACAGGGACAGGCAGCAAGCAGCTCCATCCTTTATGCATTTCAGTGACAGCATCCCCAACCAAAGCTGCAGCTCCTCCATACCTTGCTGAAAGATGGAGAGCGTGACGGACGTGACCAGCTCGAAGAGGGCCTTGATAGGGGGGAAGTAGTCTGTCTCGCTGGCAAATATGTGGACCATCTGAAAGGAGATCACCACACACTACAGTGTTACTACAGTCTGTATTTAGCATGTGCCTTTACCCAAAGCGACGTACACTTCATAAAGCAGGGTCAGATCGTCCATGGATTAAGGGTCTTGCTCAGGGGCCAACCCTGGGATTTGAACCGGCACCTCGTCCTAACCTACTGCGCCAGACACCCCGCACCCACGTTTCCTGTCTGAAATCCCTGTTTATTAGCTCGTCGTTTACCATGCAGCCCCTAGCGCACAACCTCTCGCATCCGCAGGCCTTTACAGAGGCACGATCTCTTAAGTTTGTTCGTATGCAGTAGTGTAGATTTGCACCACTAATCTACATAAACATAGACAGAATTCTGGGAGTGAATTATGTAATTAATCTGCGTAGAAAGCTGTAAGACCCATAAAACAGGGCAAGAAACATTATAACAGGTTCTGATTTGAACTGTATACCATCTATAAACAAATATATTTATGCATGAATTTGTAATGTGTTCAAAATAACTGGTAAGATTGAATTGAGACGTGATATAGAAGGTCAGTATACTCACTAGTCCTAGTTAGTGCAAATCGGGTATGCAGGCATGATCCAGCCAAGTTAACGGCTCAATGCGGTTAATGTCATCTCACCTGGCGTGTGAGGTCCAGTGCCGAGGCCTGTGGGATGGTGCTGTACATCTGGCCAAGCATCTCGCTCAGCTGGGACACCATAGGGGCAAAGTCCTGGAGGAGGGTCTTCACAGACTTCTCAAAAATGGCACATACAGCCTGAGAGAGGAAGGGGCAGTTGAGAGAGGAGAGGGGAAGGGACTCTGGGGAGAAGAAAATAGGGAGGACTGGGGAGGGGGGGGGGACGGGACTGACGAGTGGTTACCTCCACCACCTGCGAGTCATTGAGCCACTTGCTGAGAACAGTCTGAATCAAGGCGAAGACCTGCTGCAGGACTACCACCACCTGCGGGCCAGTCAAAACAAGAGTCAGACAAGAGTCAAAACAAGAGTGAGTGGGCGAAACACAGAGTGAGACAGGCAGATCAGAGTCAAAGTGAGGAGCGCCGAGTCAAAGTGAGGAGCGCCGAGTCAAAGTGAGGAGCGCCGAGTCAAAGTGAGGAGCGCCGAGTCAAAGTGAGGAGTGCCGAGTCAAAGTCAGGAGCGCCGAGTCAAAGTCAGGAGCGTCGAGTCAAAGTCAGGAGCGTCGAGTCAGAGCTGTACGATTAAATGAAACTGTGGCATACTTGATAAATGTATAAGAGGGCTGTGTGTCATCTCGCCCAAAATGACCAAATTAGCCACAAAATAAGGACATTAATCAGAAATTCACCTTGCTGTGTGACAGCAATAGAACCAACAGTAAGAAAAAAAACGAATAAATAATCGAAGTTCCAGGAGAGACATAGGAGGTTTATCCCCGAATAAGTGAGTAGTTTCAGCTGAAGCATCTACTGTAACGTTTAGAACATACAGCACAGAGATACAGGAGTGCCCAAGTATATATATAAAACAAACAGCACTCAAATTTCCCTGGAAAAAGCCAGACTCTGAAAGGGACTCACTGGGTTGGGGCCGGGCTGAGGAGGGGTGCTTTTCACCAGAGGCACACCGTCTCCACCTTCCTCCTCTTGCTTGGAGATGTCCAGCGTGGTGAAGAGGTTGGACAGAAGGCCCAGGATGTGGATGATGGCCAGCTTGTTCGAAGGGTTGGGCTGCAGAGGGGTTAGACACTTAGGTTTTCCCTGCTTAAAAACGCTCCGAGATGCGAGAGTCATATTCGAGCTTCTGCCACCAGGGGGCCCTCACAAGCGAACTCGGTCGCTGGTATTCGCAAACGAGCGGCGACCTCACCCTGCTGCCAGTCTCCCAAGAGTGACCGCCATAATTAGACAGTAGTTGCTAATAATTACAGGCTAGTCAGCCCTTTGCAGAGGCGGGCTTGTGTTCATCGGGAGAGCGTGAAAGCAAGGGGTGGGGCTAGAGACTGAGTTGCCGCGGATACTGTGCGGCAGAAACGCTGAGGTGCATGCTAACACACTCCGATGCATGCTGACAACACAGTAAACCCGGCTATTATAAATGCTATTACAGGGTGTCCGCGGGGTTTTAAAAAGTATTAAAAGGTAGTAAATCACATAAGCAAAAATTAAAGCCATTAAAAAGTATTAAAAGGTATTACATGCAAATTTACGAGGTATTAAATATTAGATTTTTTTTTAAACTACAAATTGTCCATTTGTGTTTTAAAGTTTATCTGCTAAATTTCTCGCAAATTATTTTAAATGTGGATTAGGCTCATTCCTTCATTCATAGATGATCTCTGTGATGCTGACGTCATATTTGGTGGTCGAGCGAAGTCTTAAACAGTTTGCGCGCTGAAGTACATGTTGCCTGCTTACACTCAGAAAAGCTAAGTCATAGTCATCATGGGTAAGTGCAAATTTGCATGTAAGTGGTTAGAGGACCCGGCGTTTAAGGACTGGCTAAGGCCGGTAGCAGGAAAATATCGAGAGGGTTACTGATCGGTTTGCAAAAAAAAACATAAATATCACCTGGATGGGGGTTAGCGCTCTCTGGTCGCATATGCGATGCACAACTCATAAATCAGGAATGCATGGATGAGAGCAGTTAGTCAACTGGTGCAAATTGACAAACTCAATGAAGAAAAAGCCAAACAATTACGGCACTTGCCA